GAACACTTGATTGTGTTCATGCGAAAACTATACTTGGACCAGGAAGCAGTCGTCAGAACAGAGCAAGGAAACAGCCATGGGACAAAATTGTGAAAGGAAAGCGTCAGGGATGCATCCTGTCTCCATACTTTTTCAGTCTATATGTGGAACAGATCATTCAGGAGGCTGGGCTGTATGACGAGGAATGTGGCATCATAATTGAGGGAAAACGCATCAACAGTCTGCATTATGCAGATGACACAATCTTGCTTGCTGAAACTGAGTAAGGCCTGAGCATTTGCTTCAGAAGGATTGTAGTCTTCAATATGGACTGAAGCTTAATATCAAGAAGACAAAAATTCTCATCACTTGGCCAATTGGTAGCACAATGACAGATGGAGAGAAGACTGACATTGTTAAGGATTTTAGCTTACTCAGTTCCACAGTCAACACCCAGGGCACTAGCAGTCAGGAAATCAAAAGATAAATTGCGCTGGGAAAATCTGCTATCAGGGATCTCTCCAGAGTGCGAAAGAGCAATGGTTTCAGTCTAGAGACCAAGGTGCATCTGGTTCAGGCCATGGTCTTTGCAATTCCTTAATATGCACGAGAGCTGGACAACGGTTAATGATGACATAAAAATAATCTATGTCTTTGAGCTGTGGTGCTGGAGAAGAGTATTGAACAATTCATGGAATGCCAAGCAAACGAACAGGTTTGTCTTGGAGATGGAGTTGCTCCTTGGAGATAAGGATTTTGAAACTCCATCTTACATACTTTGAGCGTGTAGCCAGGAGGGCTCAGTCCTTGGATAAGGTCATCATGCTTGGAAGGGTGAAGGGATAGCACAGAAGAGGAAGACCCTGGATGAGATGGATTGAAACTGGAATAATAGAGGTAGGCGTGTCGGAGATGGGGAGATTGGTTCAGGATAGAGCGGAGTTCAAAGCTATTCTGCATAGGCTCCTATCAGTTGCGGGCAACTCGACAGCACATAAAAATAAAAATCCTTCCCTATCTTTTAACCATATCCTTTAAGAAGATGGAAAAACCAATCACTAAATTGATAGTGAAAAGAAAGGTATTTCAGATAAGTCCAACACTACTAAAATATAACAAGAGAAATCTCACAGACCAATTAAAAAGTCTACTGTGTAGTCATGGTTGTCAAAACAGAATGGTACTAGTATAAATAACCACAGACACATAGACCAATGGGACAGAACTGAGAACTCAGAAGTAAATCCATCTACCTCTGGGCAGCTGATCTTTTGACAAAGAGCTAAAATGTACTAACTGGGGAATAAACAATCTCTTCAACAAAGAACTGGCAAAAGTGGGTATCTGTTTTCAGGGAAATGAAACAAGATCCATACCTCAAATTATAGTATCTTTTAGAAAGTAAACAAAAACTACTATTGATTGCCTTTGAGTCGAGCACGACACATAGCGACCCTATGAACAAAAGGCCTGAAGTCCCTCTACAACTATCGACATTTATCAAAGTTCATAGAGTTTTGCTACTGTTAATATAAAAAAGGTCAACCTTATGAAAGCAATCTTAACCAGCTGAATCAAGTCTCACCTCTTGTGAGCATATGGACAAGCTTTTCTTCTGAAGTGAGTTGCAGTAGGCTTGCAGTTCAATCTTTAATACATAGTAGCCTAGTGGCTTGTACCACCCGGGCTTCCTGTAAAGCTCTCCCCTAGAGGGTGTATAAGACTGTAGTCTTCATGGTAGCAGTGTTACAGATTTCTCCTACACGGCAGCTTGTGGGTTGGAACTGTCAACTTTTTGACTAGCCGTTAAGTGCTTACCCATAGTGCACCAAAGCTCTTGCCCAGCTCCTATTATTGTGTTAAGCCACACTTAGTTGGCTCCAACTCCTGTTGCGTGCTGTCAAGTTGGAACCAAACCACAGCTGACCCTCCAGCGGGCATTCAGAGGTGGTAAATCACACGGAGGAAGCTGCCAACTCACAGGGATGCTGTGCAGAAAAGAATGAAACATGGCCCGATCCTGTGCCATCCATCTTCACAATTGCTGCTGTGTTACGTCAACTGCTGCTGTACTTCCTTCAATCCGTACCAGGCCCTTCTCTTCAAGCTCCTTCCTCACTCATGGCTGCCAGGTCTGAACCAACTCATAGTTGGCTCTCCACTGGATTTCTGAGGCTGTAAATCACACAGGAAGTAACTGCCCCTCTTTTCCTCTCTAGGCCGCTGGTGGATTCGAACTATTATAGCGTAATTCCTGACGGACTAGCCACCAGAGATCCCTTTTAAGGATCAAAACGTTCTTTAAATTCTATTAAGAGGCATGCTATTATCAAACTAATTTTATTTAAAAAATCACCCAAAACTAAGCCACAGAAGGGTTGAGAAACTGGGCTGAGGATATCCATCTAGCTGGTAGAAGAGATGGGATGGGAACATTGGCCATTTGACTCCAGAAGCAATGTTCTTAGTCTCCATACAATATAATCTCACACAGTATCAACTACTAAAAGAATAGTAACTACAAACCACATACTGGTGTGATAGTCAGACCACAAGGAAAAAGTAATTTCTTCAGTGATCTTTTAGGATGTGCATTCAAGAGAGCAGGTAGTTGCAAAAGTGTATGTTTTAGGAGCTGGAGGCTGAAAGGCCAGAATTTTAGTGTGGCTATATCATTTATTCTAGTTTATAATTTTACTTGTAAGAGCAGTTCCTTAAGTCTTCTGGGTAGGATACTTTCTGTATTGGGTTAAAATCAACCAGAACACAGGAGAAAGAAATCACTAAAGACTAAATAGAAATCACTAGTTAAGACTAATATGCCAAGGCTATTTCTGATTACAATTGAATGACTAGGGTGAATGGTTTAGAAGCATCTCCAAGCACTCATCAAAGAACTGTTCACAGATGAATGACAGGACACTTGATCATTACACCATCTTTACCCTTCTTCCCCACCCCAACAGCTGCTGGAAAGCAAACATTTTGTTTGTTCTCTTTTTCATCTCTCTTCCATCGAACACTGTGCTTTTCATCTCATTCCTAAGGTAAAGATTTCATTTCTAATTGTTTATACAATAAATGGCAATCCTGAATCTGATCATTTCATATGAAATGAATTTCTATGCAAACTCACTGCCATAGACTCTATTCCAATTCACAGAGATCCTACATGATGAAGTGAACGGACCCCAAAGGTTTCTAAGGCTGTGATCTTTACCCAAGTGGCCTGCTACATCTGTCCTCTTCAGGGCGGCTAACAAGCCTGAACAATGGAGCAGCTACCACTTCATTTTACGGAAGTATCACCGATTTCATGACTTGGACATTTTCCGTGACATGAGACACATTTTCCTTTACCTAATTTCATCCATTACTTTTAGTTACTTCTTGGGTCACTGCTCAAAAATTCCATTTCCTCTGCTCCACCTCAACTACCCCGAGATGGCTATCAGCTCTGCCTCATTTTGTTTCCTTCCCCAATACACTGCTTCAACCTATTAGTCATTATTTGGCTCTAACCTGTGGATTTAATATTTTTTAATGCTTCCTCATAAGCCAATTCTTTCCATTCCAGTGGGTATTAAAGGTTGGATTTCCAATCATCTCCTTATTTTCAGAAATTTCATCTTCCTGAGGCTAGATCAGCTTTCATTAGCATCAACCTACTTGGTAATATATATAAATAAATAAAACTGGACATTTTCTTTTCAATTCTAACACCCAAAAAGCATTCAAGTAAAAGGATGCATGTATCTCTTTAAACAACAGTAGCAGAATCATGTTCGTAAAATATATAAGATAATTTTAAAATATCAAAAAAAAGTGGTAACAACAGCTACTGTTAACTACAACCTTTTGGAGACATGTAAGAAGGCATATTCTTGTCACAAAAATTAATAATCTGGTGGCTTAGTGGTAAGAAGCTGTGCTGCACCCCAGAGGCAGATGGTTCGAATCCACCAGCTGCTCGACAGGAGCTGTTGGATCAGCTATGAGTTGTTTTGACAGCATGTAACAGCAATGATGAGACAGGGAGCTCTGGTGGCCTCGGAGTAAAGAATTGCACTGCGAACCCAAAGGCAGGTGGTTTGAGTCCACTAGCTGCTCTGCCAGAGAAAGTTGGAAATCTCCTCCTGTGTGATTTACAGCTTCTGTGTGTAGATCTGCTGGAGGGTCCACTATGGCAGGGAGAATGACGGTGCAGGACCGCACAGAGCTTTGCTCTGCAGTATAGAATTACAGACAATCTGCTGACACCACACACCACCACCACCTCCACAGGAAAGCAAGGGCGAGGCTCCCCTGGTGGCCAGGAGGATCTGGCGCCAAAGGCTCAAAGTTCTGAAATATTCAGCCACTCCTCAGAATAAAAATTTACAGTCTCAGAAACAAAATAGAGAGGTGTCAGGAGTCAGAATTGATTCCAGGGCAGTGAGTTTGGTTTTCGTTATGGGATAAAAAAGGGAGTGCTGGTGGCACAATGGTTAAAGCACTTGACTGCGAGCTGACTGCTCAATGAGAAGTTGGCAGTTTGTGCTCACCAGCTGGAGGAAAGACCTGCTTTGTCCTGGATGGTTGGTATGAGTTGGAATGGACTCAGTGGAATGCACTTAAAACCAATGAGAACAAGAAATAGAAAAGAAAGCTTTCCCTTCAACCAACAGATAGACATGAGGAAAGGAGTCAAAGAATTTAGAAGAGCTCATAAGTTCTGTGAACAATGATGGCAAAATCTAATTACGAAAAATGTGTATTACGTTGTGCATGATATGTACTATATATGAATTTGGCTTTAGTATGCTAAAGCAGAAGTGATTATTGACAGAGTTGCGGTTGTTTTGTGCCATGAGTCAGACCAGATTCACAGCGGACCCTCCAGTGGGTTGTCAGAGGCTGTAAATTGCATGGGAGTGGACTGATCATCTTTCTCCTGCAGTGCGGCCAGGGCATTCAAGCCATATGACTTCAGGTGGCCCGTGTGACTCATACCACCAGAGCGCCCCAACAAAGAGTATCTTCTACTTTTCAAGTTGTCTTAATGAAAAGCAAACCAGTTCCTTACAGAGAGAGACTTCAAGAAACTCCTATTAACAAGAAGTTAAAAAACAGGGGTTGCCTAGAACTGGGTATTTAATTTAAATATGAATATACTTTTTTCAGTGTTGAAATGCCAAGGTTTTGTTTCCCATTTCCAAAGGCCTGATTACAAGCTTTCAAATTATTTGAAGATGTGAAAAATTGTCTACATTTCAACTTAGTTCAAAGCTAGTATGAAATCATTTCTTCTTCTTCCAACTCAAAGTATGTTTAGGAGCAGGACGTCTGATAGAAGTGGTATTGCTAATCTAACCAATTTTAGAATATAAAGTGCTTCTAGCAATATTTGGATACATATAATTTGACAAAAAAGTTTTATAAATCCAAGCTTTGAAAAACAGAAAATATAAACCCTAACAAAAAAAGCATAATTTGTAATTGAAAGAAAATAATATTTTGCAGAAAAAAAATTTGTCCTTCCAAAAAGAGACAAAAATGACTAACTTTTATTTCCCAAGAGAATTATGCCACTTTTATACAACAAAATTACAGTCACCACAAATTGCTTTCAACAATTCCATTGCTTCTTCATTTGACCACTTGAAAATCAAAATTCTTTCAGATTATAAATATAACTTTTTTATAACTCTGTTATTACGTACTGTGAATGGGGCAAGGGGGCCAATCTTGTGGCCGTAGCGTCGAATGGCCTCTCTGATGTGGCAGGGCTGGATGGCATCGCTGTGAGCCTCAACACCACAGGCCACAGTGCTCTGTGACAGAAAAACACAGAAATTGTTACTAAATCAAAAACACACAACAGAACTACAGTGTATAAAATATGAAAATAAACTTTCACAAAATGAACCATTTTCCCCCCCAACCCTGGGACGCACATCATTGCTGCCATACGCTCTATCTTAATAATAAAAAAAGTTCCATTAACAAAATCAAAGATGACTTTTACATGACCCCTTCCAAACAGACCCACCAAATGCAATTTTTATGCCCACAATATTTCACCTTCGTCTGTACGTCAAGGTACGGGAGAAAACAGGCACTTGTGAGCCGATGAAAAGTCTCAGGGGTTTACTGGAAGAACCGCAGGCAGGTTACTTATTTATTTCTTAATATTTCCAACATTTATTATTATAAATGTTTCTTGTGAGCTTCTCAGGCATATTTCTAAAATAGCCTGAGGGCCATCAATTTTGAAATGAAAAATGTAAAGTGGCTATATATTTATTTATAGTACGGGGGACAGAGAGTCCATTTCGACTCATTTTCTAGGTGTCCTACAGTAAGTGGTGCAGGGCAGGCAGGAAGGGGACGCGGTATTACACTCTGCCATATTAAAAGGTAGGTTTGGAATAATAGAAAGATACAAGCAATTTGCAATGAGAGTATGGATACCAACTCAAGAAATGGTAGATGTATGTGTGCATAAAACAAAATGTTATTAAAAAAAGAGAATGTTAAAGCAGTATCTTCTTGGGGTGTAGTGTAGTCTCTGGCTTCTGACTGCTTTTATGTGTGTCTACTTGGTTCCAACTCAGTGACCCCCGCACCACACAGGACTTCCAAAACTATAACCTCTGGAAGAGTAGATGGCCAGGTATTTCTTCCTGTAGAGCTGTTCATGAGTTCAAACCTCACCCTTCTGCTTAGCTGAGTGCTTGATGATTGCGCCACCACGGCCCTTTGTCTTTTGATTCTGAATGCAAATCCTAGCCCTGCCTGTCACCAGATGATTGTTGTTGCTGTTATGTGCCATCAAGTCACCTGTGACTCATAGTGATTCTATGTACAACAGCCCCAGACCCTGCTCTATACTGAGCCAACCTTATTGTCTCTGACACACCTACCCCAATTACCCCAGCCACTGAGTCAATCCATCTCACCGAGGGTCTTCCCCTCCTGTGCTGTCCCTCCATCCTCTCAAGCACAATCTTGGTCTCCAAGAACTGGCCCCTCCTTGCAACATGTCCAAAGTATGTTAGACGAAGCTTCAGAATCCTTGCCTCCAAGGACCAGCCTATTTTCACCCTCTCTAAAATGAACCTGTTTGTTCTCTTAACAGTCCATGGTATGTTCAATACCCTTCTCCAACAGCACAGCTCAAAGGCATCAATTCTCCTTCTATCATCCCTAGTCATTGTCCAGCTATCTGACCTATAGCACGTAATTGCAAAGACCATGGCCTGGATTAGGTGCACCTTAGTCTCCAGACACAAGTTGTAATATTCCTCATGTGTAATATAATAACAACATATAATAGTTTCATAAAATTGCTATAAAAATTAAGTAAGTTTATAATATACGTAAAATAACTATAGTAGTAGTTGTTGTTGATTGTTGTGAAGTTGAGCATGACACATAGTGGCTCTCTGAACAAAAGATCTGATGCAC